GTTAATATAATAATAAATAATAATAATATAACTTATTAAAGTATAATAACATTACTACTATATTGCATTATATACTACTTATAATACTACTATAATAATTTAAACTAAATATTAAAACATTTTATTTATAATATATTTTATTATAATTAATATATATTATATTAATAATATGTTTAATACTAATATTGTAATGGGTCAAACTAATATTAACCAAAAATATTTAACATGGTGTTTTGAAAACAATTTATTAGAAAAACGTAACACCATGATGGTTTTTTACAAAACACAATAAGAAAAACATCATGATATACATACGAAGCCGAGGATGTAAGCTCAAGGGCGCTAAAGTGGAATAAACAAAGTGCACCGGGGTTTGTGAGTTTTACCCAAAAGTGTTTTTCCAATGGAAAAAACCCTTGAAAATGAAGGTTAAAAAAAAAAAAATCTTACTGGGTGGAAGTGTGGTCACATGGCTTACGGTCCGCAAGCAGAAATCGCGAGCAGCAGGTCTCGTGAGATACGAGTCACCTTCTCCTTGGTTCACGAAACAAATAAAACCCTTCTCATTACACGATTTTCTTTCGTGCACCCAATTTCTGACCACTCTCCACCCTTCGCCATCTCTACCTCACTTCGATTCCAAACCCTAACGACATTCTCTCCAAATTTTTTCAGCGAGATCCGAAGGAAAACAAAGGGCTTTGGAGCTCAGGAAACCCTAGGTATGACCAAAATTCACACCCTCGCTGATGCTTCTCAGATCCCATGCCATGTTCTCCCTTGCCCTGTCCCTTGATTTCTTTGTCAAATTGGCGTCAAGATCTCATCTTTTTAGGGGCTTTACAGCTGAAATGTCTTTTTCTGGTTTGAGACCCCAAACTACCATTTCTTTGTTAAACCCTATTCTGAATGTGCACTTGATTTAGTTTGTGTTTCATGCATTGTTTAGTTTATGGTGTTTGTCTCCTACGCAAAGTTAAGGTATTGGTTATTTTAGTGAGTATCCAGTGGTTTGTAGGTATTATTCATCTATTTGCATATTCAAGTAGAATGTAGTAATAGCTAAAAGAGGAACATGAGAAGAACTCATTAGGAATGGGATGCGACATGAAATGTTTATTATACGTAGGGGTGTGGATGTAACTTCTAAAGCAATCAAAGTATGAAAATATTTGAATCCGCTTTGTACCGTTTTGTGTACCATATAATATCTGTACGGTGTATCAGGCTATAAGCAAAGAGCGCACATATGTTGTGGACTCTGCTTCATTTAAATATGCACTCTTCATATAATTAGTATGTGGTATTTATATATTTCATTACGACTATGTATATGTCTCCAAAATAATATATAAGAACGTATACGTGCTTCGTAATTTGTAGATTAATAATTATACTCTTTAAAGTTGACGCTAAGAGTTTCATTTGGATTAGCTTATATATAACTTCTTGTTATTTTATAAATGTCGTTCATCCTTTATGGATATTTGTCAGGTTTAGATATTGTCCTAATTTGGACTTATCTCTCGTATTCATGTATGGATAGTACTATTTTGCATATATCCATTGGATATCGTAGCGGATTTGATTCATCATCTAGATTTGGATGTTCTTTCAGTGTTTCCCCAAACAAAAAAAAAACAAAAAAAAAAACACCAACAAACCCAAAAAAAACATCCTTTTTAGTTGTCTCAACTCTCAATTCATGTTTATTTAGGTCCATGCGTAGTCCTTACTTGATATATCAGCATGTGTACTAGTACAAAAATCTTCCTTTGTTCTGAGTAATTCCCGTACCTGAGAAGAATCCTCGAATCATAGAGCCAGTTTCCAGACGGATCTTCTATCACTGTTCTTTTAATAGCTCACCTTACTCATGTTTCCCCCTCCCCAGCACACACCTCACAATGAAACTAAAGCAAGAATAAAAATAGTCATTTACCCAAGGTTTCATTATTTTTCATTCTCTCATTTCTAAGTACTGGTAATTAGTGGTGATATAACCCTTTGCAGTTTGGTTAATATTTGACAAACTTTCAATGCAACCTTAGGTGAGTCTGGTGGAAGCTTGTTTGTTTCTGGTAAAATTTATCTTCATTAATTCATATAACAAGTCCCCCTTTCCTGCAAGAGATGTAATGATGTATATTTGTAAAAGAAGAAGAAGAAAAAAAAAATTTTAAATAAAAACCAAATAAAGAACCTGTCTTTGGATTTTGGGTTTACATATACTGGATCACTTAAATTATGCTGTCATTTCAGGTTATGGCAGATAATACTGTAGCAGAAGAGCCATCAACTGGGGTTAAAGAAGTAGATGGCAATAAAGAGATGGTTGCTGTTAGTTTCAGTGAAATAAATTGCAACCTAAATGCAACATAATTGTATACAGATCTTAGTAATCATTTTTCTGTGATCTGTCAGGGGATAGCAAATGACTTTGTTGAAGGGCGATTACCTGCAGACAAAGATGGAGATGGTAATACAGAGGTGTAAGAGAGATCTCTGAGTTAAATATCATCACTGGAAGCAGCTAGTATAACTGTTCGTGCATTTTGTCATTTTTATTTCTGTTTTTATTTTATTAGGAAACGTCAGATAACGTCAAAGATGGAAATGGGCTAAATGGTGATCAGAATTTAAATGTTGGAGATGATAAAACTCCCCAGTTGGGAATGGTTTTTAAATCCTATGGAGAAGCTTGCTATTTCTATAAGCAGTATGCTCAGAGTGTGGGTTTTGCTGCAACAGTGAGAAGATCATCATTTAAAGAGAATGGAGAGTGTCTTCATTTGATACTTGCATGCTGTAAATGGGGTAAAGGGCGAGAAGGAGAAGAGTACCAATCGAGACCTACAGCAAAAACAAATTGTCAGGCTTCAATAAAATTGAGGTTAAGAGGTGAAGGCTTGTTGCATTTGGAGAAGGTTAATCTTGAACATAATCACGAACTGAATCCATCTATCACCAAAGTCTACAGATGCTTCAAAATTCTGTCCAATAACAAAGTTCTACGACCCAAATCTGGCCACAATCCGATCCAAGCTCATGAAAGACAAAACTATCTGACTGTTGAAGAGGATCACAGAAACTCTAGTGGAAGAAGACACCTAAAGCTTGGACAAGGAGATGATGAAGCTATTCAACAGTTTTTTACACGATTGCAGAACAAGAACTCTCACTTCTTTTACTTAATAGATTTGAATGAAGATGGTTGCTTGTGTAATGTGTTTTGGGCTGATTCTAGGTCAAGAGCAGCATACAAATATTTTGGTGACGTTATGTCATTTGATACAACTTACCTCAGGGATGCATTTCAGGTTCCTCTTGTTTTATTTCTTGGTGTCAACAATCATGGGCAATCTGTGTTGCTAGGTTGCGGATTACTTTCAGGTGAAACAATAGAAAACTACATCTGGGTGTTCAAGGCATTTGTAGCTTGTATGTTAAGCAAACTTCCAAACGCCATTGTCACTGATCATTGTAAGGCCATTCAAGGTGCAGTTGCTGAAGTTTTTCATGGTGTGAGACACCGTCTATGCTTATACCATATAATGGAAAAAATGGCAGAGAGATTGAGGGAATATTCAGCATACACAGAGATTAAGAAGACACTAATGAAAGTGGTCTATGACTCTTTGAAAGTTGAGGAATTTGAGGAAAATTGGAGGATTATGATAGACAGATACAACCTTGAAGGTTGCGAGTGGCTTAATTCCATATACAAAAGCCGTAATAGTTGGGTCCCAGTTTTTCTGAAAGACACATTTTGGGCAGGACTTTCTACTACTCAACCCAAAGAAAGCATCACCCCGTTTTTTGATGGGTTTGTAAACTCAAAAACTTCTTTAAGGCGTTTTTTCATTATATATGAAGCTGTCTTGCAAGCTAAATACGAAAAAGAAATAGAAGCAGATTCTGATTCATTTAATGGATATTGGCGAATGGTCTCTAAATTTCACATGGAAGAGCAGCTCTCCAAACTATATACACTTAACATTTTTAAACTTTTCCAGGATGAGTTGAAGGCTACTATGTATTGTGATGTTTCTTTATGTAAAGTTGATGGGGTAATTTCTACATTTGAAGTTAAGGAATCTCTTTTCTTAGAAGATGGCAAAACAACAAAGATTAACTACTGTGAAGTTCTCTACTATTCTGATGAACCTAAAGTGCAGTGCATCTGTGGTTCTTTTCAATCTAGAGGCATTTTATGCAGACATGCCTTAGCTGTGCTTAAGTTCCAACAAGTTTATGAGATTCCTTCTCATTACATTCTCAGTCGTTGGCAAAAGGATTATAAGAGACTGCACCTTTTGGAGCAATCCTGTGATGATGTGGCGTCCAAAAACCTAATGGAGAAATATGATTATTTATCGATGCGTTGCCTTCAACTGCTTGAGGTGGGGCTTATATCTAATGATAAGTATCAGCTTGCTCTGAAATTAATAAGAGAAGTAGAGAAACAGCTTCTAGATGATTCATTACAAGGGGATGGAAATCAAAAGAATAGGGAGGATCTAGCAACACTACAATTTGGTTTCTCTCAAAATGAGCAGGTTCATGATTCTTCACAGCAAGTGAAACGAAGAGGTCGTCCACCAAAGAAAAGGAAAGAGGCAGAGGCAGAGGCAATAACTAGATCGAATACTGGAATGGTAATTAAATCAATCACAAGAAACTTAAATATCATTGGCCCCTAAATCTTCATATTTTTATTTGCTCCCCAAAACCTTTATGTTGTTTTAAGTAACCACCCTAAGTGAATAATTTTCTCCAAATTTGTTACTTTGGTGTGATTAATTCTTACTTGCTGGTGGTAATTTACTGTAATATCCTTGAGTTGCATGTAACCCGATTCGTTTTGGTTCACGGGATGGGTACGGGAACATGATAAACCACTCATTAGGAATCAGGTACGAGGGAAGTAGGCTTACAAGATAAACCGGGGAGCATAGTACATTTTAGGTTCAGTTCTTAAATGCTAGTTGATATTAGTAATGGTAAAAGAACCTTGAGAATCATGTTGCAATTAAGATATACATACTTTTTTTTCTTAATTCCTCACATTTTTTGTTGTTTATTCTTTGAAAAAGAGTTACTTTTTTTAAATTTTAACTGGTTTGAATTCTAACTCGGGTTGTTGGAGTTGGTGAATCGGGTCGTGTTCCGTGCGAATCTGTGATGATTGAACTTGGCTCGCGGTTCGCTGTAGCGTACGATGTTTCTGATTTCTGTGATCCTTGATTAGGAAATAGTACACTGATTTAACTTCAGAAATTAAACTACAAAAAAGGAGGAAGGGAGGAGAGTCAACTAGAGACAGGAGGAGAAGTGAGAGATTGGGGAGAGAGTCCGCCTATAGAGAGAAAGTGAAGGAGAGTAGCTCATGTAATATACCTAATCAAGGGTGTTAAGGAAAATAGCCAGTAATTATTAAGATATCTACACCTTATTAATAGATTTGGGCAGAAATTTCCCTGGGTTGTAATTTAAACAACTTACAGGATTTGGGGTATAAGTTAAGAATATGAATATTTAAGTGTCTAATATAAGAATATGTCAATTATGAGAAATCCCCCTTTTTTGTTTTTCCTGATACTTCTTAAATATTCCTCGATCAGGGTTCATCAATGACAGCATTGGTTGGGGATCACAGAGATGTTCTACAAGTTGGCCCAACTTCTGCATATCTTGGCTCACATTCCCATATACAAGGAGGCACAAATCTAATGGTCTTCAAACTTTTCATCTCTGGATTTCTATGATTTTGTACATAATATTATTGCATACTGTATTACTAATCAAGATTGCATTGATCTAGGCAGACGTGAACCTGAATGATTACTCATCTAGCAGTCATTTTGGGATGCACGTTAACCCACAGCATCCTGTTGCCGGACTGTCAGGGATACACGTTAACCCACAGCATCCTGTTGCCGGACAGTCAGGGATACAACCGAGCATCATTGAGGTCTGTAATTCAGTTATTTGCATGATGCTTTTCATTTCTCCTTCTCCCCTTGTTCTGTACATAGTCGTTCATTAAATATAATTCTTTGTACGATATTTATGATTTTGTACATGATTGTGTTCTTCTTTCATGAGCATTTTTTGTACCACAGAGCCAGTATTCTCCCCAAACTATTGGAAACCACGGGAGGTCACAGTGGCTCTATCACCAAATATTCCAGGTTTTTGTTGTGTCAAATGTGTTCCTGACGTTAATCTACTTCTCTATTTTTTAACTAAATTCTCAATTATGAAGGGAAAAAACTAAATTCTCAACTTTTCTTAAATTTCTTTACCACTTGAAAATAATTTACTTTAAGAAATGTTTGACAGTATTATGCATGTCTTATGTGCTTATATGTGATGTAATTTCATGTTGTCATGCTGCAGGAACAGCAACTTCCAAGGGCACCGCATGGCGCAAACAGATAATGAGGCGGCAACCAATTGTCAATGAGTTCCTTTTCGTACTGAACGAAACTCCTACCCTGAATGTTTCTTGCTTATTTTCTTTCTTTCATACGCCAGTCAATAGAACTTAATTTCCTTATTACTGAAAATTTAATTGTTTGGTCTAAGCTTACTTTCTGGCTAGTACCAGTGGCTAATGTCACCAAGACCTAAAAACTTACCTTTTGTATCTGTCTTCTTCAGCTGATACTAGTTCTTTAAGGCCTCTAATCTCTCAAACATAACAACTATTATATCAAAATAAAAACAAGTTTTTTCTTTTCTTTTTTCCCTCAACTTACTAGCTTCATTAATATACATCCTGAATCAGACTAGAAGTTCTTTTGTACTGTTACCTTGTTGCTTGTACTTCTCATCAATTTAATTGGTCTACAACATTTCAGCATCTTATTACTGATGTAATATCTCGCTTGATTTTTATTTTGATTCTTCTTTTCCCAGTTGCACTATGCACCATACAAGAAAAAGAGTTTGCACGAGTCTAAGAGCATGTCTATAGTGAAAGCTCATTTGTTGCTCATCCGAAGATGTAGTAACTGCCTACTCTAGCTCAGAGATACATTGCGGCCACATGAAATTTCGAATTTAAGAACAAGAAAGATGCTTAGCCAAAGAACGAGTAAAGTTCACGGAGAAAAGTGCAAATTTTAAACAAGGAAATGGTTTGATGATGCTCGCAGCTGAATGTGCATCCTTTCAGTGTAGGAGCCCCAAGCAAACTGGCATCTGAAACCTTACTGGTGAAAACAAGGATGCTTTCAAGAAACAAAAGAGCCTTGGAGCATGTATTCGCTAGTGAGCTGTTTAGTTTGATTGTAGTTTTTTGTAATTTTTTAGTTTTAAGTATGGTGTATAATAACTTAAGCTTGCTGTCTCTCTGTTGATAGCCCAATTTTTATCTAAAAAGAGGAAATTGTCATAGCTCACCAAGAAGATTTTTGTATTTACCGCGTAGTATTACTTTTATTGTTTTATATTCCTAAGGTTATCTGTGTTTGTGTATTCCTTGCTAAGATCCATTTGGTTTTTTTATATATAGTTTTCTTTTAACCGAACGATATTATTTTAGTCTGATAAAATGTGAAATTAGATTATAAAAGTTCTGCATTTAGAGATCAAACTACAGCATTAATTCAGAAAAATAATTATGCTAAAAAAAAAGATCTACATTATATAATAAGAGGAGGAAACATAAGAAGAAAGAAAAACCAAGATAAAATCAGATAAATGGCACGCAGTTGCTGCAGTTCAATTGAGACCTGAAATTGGGACCATACATTTTAAATGATACTCAAATCAAGGACAAACCATGTAGACCAGATATCGTGACCACTGCCAACTATGCAAATGCTTTCAATAATTTCATAAACATCGTCAATTGAAAACAGTTAGACCCGCTATTGTCTCACACACCGCCGGGCCATCTCATTGTAACAGTACCACCATTGTCATCATGTAGGCTTGAATAACATGTGCTTCAATTTTATTAATAATTTTTTTTAATAAAATGTTTAGCTTGTGTGTTGTTTATAAGTAAGTGTAATCTCAAAGGGAAGTCTCTAATTTGAACATGAAAGTTTCCATGTGATCCAAATGACGAGACTAAAAAACTTATATAGTGACACCTTTGGCATTGACCATGTACAACTAGATCACATTTCATTATAATACCGATATATAAATACTAATTGTTACTGCTTAATATTTGTACCATCTTTTGGGTCTTTCAATCTATTAGAATGTAATGTAAATGATACATCTAACAATACACGACCCACCAATGACAACATTCGCTTCTCTATCATTACCACAAGGAGAAGATTTCAATATATGACCCTCTCTCTCTCTCTCTCTCTCCCCCTCTCTCTCCCATCATGTTAGATATGAAATTACCTTCCTTCGGAATTAGAATGTCTCACTGTCCAAAAGGATCAAGTTAAAACAGAATAGGTAGACAGTGAAACATCAAAGCTGTGATTAATGGCTTCTCCTATCTATACAACCTCCAAGTAAAAAATTAGTAAGATAAAAGACTGGCGTTGCTCTTTATTTTTCCGAAATGGAAACTATAATTTTGAAAGAAAAATTCTTTAAGGACCCAAAATATGGGACCAATAGAGGGGACAAGTGAGGTGTCCTCCTCTTATTAGATAATGAGTTGGCCATCATTAATGATGGCCAACTCATTATCCAATAGGAGGGGGACACCTTACTTGTCCCCTTTATTGGTCCTATATTTTGGGTCCCTGAAGCAAAGCTCATTTTGAAATGGTGAACTTAAAATCTTTTTTTAGAAAAGAAGAAAGTTTGCGGGCTTCCGCACCCAGAGATTGACCAAATCCACGTGGGTCCCATACATGGTCCTAGGGCCTGGTTCCATTCTTCCTGAACCCCCACCCGGATCCGCCCGAACCACGCTCCAAACAAAAGCACAAGTACCCAAATTCTCACTATCCGACGTGTCTCTCCCTGGCCCCACTTGCCCACTCTTACCCCAATCGCGTCCCATTTTAGCGTCCACAATCTCTCCCGGGGACCAAAA